AGTTCCACATTTCTACCCTGTATAAAAGTAAACTGAACTACAAAACACTACCATAGAATGGCCTTCAATTATCTTATAATGTGTACCAAAATTTAAGTTCCCAATGTTTAACCGTTTTAAAAAAAACAACAAAAACTAATATTTTTCGCCATTTTGGAGATCAAATATCTCAAAAATGAGACCTCAAATCAAAGACCCGCTCTAAAATGACTAAAAAAAAAAAAGAACACGCTGCTAAAATATTTTAACATATTTACGGAACACCCTGTATAAATAACAATTATAAAGAAAATCAAACACAATTTTAGTTTATTCACTGGGGCACCATGATTTTTACGATAATGTTTATTGAGATTTCCCTGTGTTGAAAAGCTTTTTTGACAAATACTGCAAACATTGGAAATAGACATAACTAATGATATAAAATGATATAAACTTATTATTTGTACGTAATTACGACAGAACTCTGATACTACTTCGACACCTGACATAACATTAGATACTGGCAACGTTGTATTCCAAGGGGGCTCCAATTAGCCGCTTCTCTGAAACTGGCACTGACAGTGACAGCCACGATGGATGCCAGGCTTGCGGCTTTACATGTCAATGACCCATCGGGGCGTGGCGCTTGTCATGGCCTATTCCGCCCTCTTGTTGCAATGGGAAAATTTATTTAGTTATTTTTTAAATTTAAAATCAACCTTTTTGACAAAATGCGGGTTTTTTTGCGTGTTTTCGCATAATGAATTCGAGAATTTTTTATCGTCATATGATCATTAACGGAAGGATTTTTTGTGGTTTGCGCCTGACAAAAGTCCCTATTTTTTTGCGGAAAATTGGTCCTCAATTTTAGGCGGATTTTGCGAAAACACCGACCTCCACCCTTGTTGTGAAATTTGGGGTTTAAATTAATTTCCAATTTCAAAAATTGAAATTTGGCGATTTTTTTCACTGATTCAAAGGCAAGATGCAAGGTGAAATGAGAACTTTTCAGGATGATTTGCGATTTTAACCGTTGAAAACTTCGACCCAATTGAATTATGAGAGTCTGCCACACTGTTACGTGATCAGCACTTTCAAATCTGAGTATCAGCCGGGCATGAAGGCGCAAAATAGTTGGAAAGTACCCAAATTAGCAGGCGAGAAAGATCGGCTTTTACCACATCGAAAATAACTAAATATTGACTTATTATCATTGGCCACGCCCACCCAGGTAAAAGGTGTAAAGCAAATACAGCGATAAAGTGATAATGAACATAAAATCGGTAAATCGGATCGATTTTATTGGAAAAGGGCGATCAAGATATCGGCCAAATAAACGCAATTTTCGGCCAATCGGCGTGCGATTGCGATGGATTAGGCACCAGTGAAAACCGATTTGCAATCACGGTGATCGATTGCGTCATGGGGTTTTTGGTGAATTTTTGCTAATGGGGGAATTCCCCCGCTGGAGTCCTACTAATCACGCTCATCCATCATGCACCGATTTTTTCAAAGTTCAAAGACCAAAAACGCCCGTCTGCAAGTGCACACAATCAACGCTGAAAAGCAGCAGTTTCTCACCATTTCACCGACAATTATTTTTTAAATCATAAATCTTTCACTAGGTACGCCATTAATTTCGCATTTTATGGTGTTCTATCGGCTCCGAACATCGCATCATTATGTCCAATCGTTGCGTACGGGGATTAGCCATTAATTACCTTCGAAGTTTGCATGGATTTTGCGTTAAAAGACCAATTTTTTGGAAAAAATAAACCTTTCTGATTAATTGCCGCTAATTTTCCCCGTAGAAACTGTCGCCGAATGCCCGAATATTCCGCCATCGCATCGATAATTAGAAAATGTCGGCGCCTTAATGAAGACGGTAAATCATGTACAGTTAGCCTCCGGATTCGCAAGACTTCAGTCCAGGCCATTTGCCTATCATAAAATGTTGTTTAGAGGCAACCTTTAATGTGTGTTATGGGAAACCTTTCACCGTCGTATCTTTGATCAATGCGGAATCATACAGGGTGAGTTAAAGGTGCGTTTGCATTGAAGAAAAATCAAACCAACGCCAATTTTCAGTCGCCCTGTGTACGCGCGGTTGCGAGTTTTTCGGGACCGTTTTCACATTGGTGGCAAAAATCAGAATTTAGTGCGATTTTTGTGAAAATTCCTGCAGATGAAGCCTCAAGTGTCGGCTGTAGACGGTGAACATTTCAAGTTGCTGATTGCACTTGTTGGGGAGTTACGAATTTTTAAAACAAACCAAACATCTGAGTGAAACGCTTAATTCTAAGACCGTTTTTACGTAGTTGGCAAAAATCAGATTTTGGTGCGATTTCTCTCAAAACTCTAGCAAATGAAGCCTTAAATGTTAGTTATAGACAGTCAAATTTGGAAGTCACTCCAGGAGTCAGTTTGGGAGTTACGAATTTTTAAAAGATAGCAAACGTCTGAGTGGAAGCCTTAATTTTTAGACCGTCTTTACGTAGTTGGCAAAAATCAGAATTCAAAGCGATTTTAATGAAAACTGCGGTGTCTTGAGCGCCACTTGTTCTCTATCGACGAGTGAAAATTGAAAATTTCCCCAAGACCCAGTTTGGAAGTTACGAATTTTTTGACGAAACCGCACTGATGACTGCTAACGTTCATTTTGAGCCTGTCCGTTGGAGCGTTCGCAAAAATCAGATTTCAGTTCGATTTTTATCAAAATTCTAGCAGATGAAGCCATAAATGTTTGTTATTCACAGTCAAATTTGGGAGTCGCTCCAGGAGTTAGTTTGGGAGTTACGAATTTTTAAAAGAAAGCAAACATTTGGGTGGAAGCCTTAATTTTTAGACCGTGGTTAGATAGTTGGTAAAAATCAGAATTTGAAGCTATTTTAATGAAAACTTCGGTGTTTTGAGCGCCACTTGTTCTCTATCGACCAGTGAAAATTGCGAATTGCCCCAAGACCCAGTTTGGAAGTTACGAATTTTTTGACGAACCCGCACTGAAGAGTGAAAACCTTCATTTTGAGACTGTCCGTTGGAGCGTTCGCAAAAATCAGATTTTAGTGCGATTTTTCTCAAAACTCCATCAGATGAAGCCTGAAATGTTGGCTATAGACGCGGAAAATGTCACGTTACTACGTGTCTCATTTTGAGAGTTACGATTTTATCAAAGAAAGCGCAAATCTGAGTAAAACCCCCAAATTTGACGCATTTGTGCTGACATCTAGCTTGGCAACGTCAAAGTTCAATAACTAAAAGGTTTCTGAAATTGCTCTGAAGGGGCACGCCACTTGTGTTTCCGAAACATCAGGTGGAAATTCTAATTTACATCGATCAAAACAAATTGCCGCAAAACCGAAGCCTTTAGCCAAGGCGTTCGTTCGCATAACTCGCGAGGGCACAAGCAACAATTTTGATTGATTTAAGCTAATTACGGGTCCCGAGCGCAAATTGCCTTCGATAATGCTAATTTGTTTTTGCGCTAATTAAATCTTTTAGCCGGCGTGCCGGCACGTCACTAACAAGTGTCCAGGTCTGGTTGGCCAGCCGTTCACGTAAAACCTGCAATTTTCCTCGCAGCGCCCGCCGTTTCAGGTTATGTACGAAAATCGAATGAAATTAGCGAGTTGCGAAAAATTCGCCATGCAGTAACAAGCGGAAATGTGGGCGGAGGCGGCGCAGGTTCATTGCCGGGGGCACCGTTTCCGGTTTCGTTCACGTCCTTTGCATTCGCCACAATCAGTAGCGGACCCAACAAAAGACCCGATATAATTTGACATGTCGCTGTCGTTAACGACGTTTGAAGTGACAGGCGTCCCAGTGACAGCGACAGTGACAGCTCAAGCTGACATTCATGACAGTCTGTGCCGTTAAAAATGACGACTGAATAGGGAATCGGTTGCGTTATCTTATCAGGAAGGCCATGGGCGACATTCCTAATATAATTCGCG